AAAACTTATAGTTATTTCACGAAAGCCTTTCAACTCACTTTACGATCATATCAGCTTAATTAAAAAACTTACCTCTAACAAATGCGTAGTAAATCAATCAAAATTTTCAAGGTCAGGAACTAACATCTTGTATTTTTTTGTCATGGAAAATCCATAATAGTCACACCAGGGTGAAATGAACGTCCTCTGTTAAACGCTTTTTAAGCCATGTGAAAACTAAAGTACTTGATGAAGTGATTAAACTAAATAAATCACATTCCGTCATAAATCCCCTCCCTACAACAATTATGAAGTTCTTTGGTGAACTAATAAAGCGGGATTAGTATAGTTCACTACGAAAGTTTCTTTGTCAGCAGCTTTTCGACTGTTGCTATCTTACTCTGACCTGTCATGGTAACAGAGTGATATTCAAACGGAAACCTGTCTGAAGTTAAATGGGCGCGTGATTTGTGTATGAACCCGCTCAATACTGAAGGACCCATTAGTAAGTGAATTAGACATTAGGGTCATTAACTTTCTTCATTCCTTCAAACTCTAATACCGGATTTTCACCACGTATACGGTAAAGAATCTGAATGCCGCTTTGCAGCACTTCTCCTGTAGTTTCAGAGAGATGGCAATCTTTACACTATTTTGTGCCACAAAATTAAATTGTACAAATTTTTCTACTTGCTCAGGGGACCCTTTAAGCAAATTACGGTTCCATGGTGTTTTAGCGGCTGCAATAAGTAAAACGCGTATAGCGAATCAGTCTGTTGGGCTGAATAAACATATTCCAGGGACAACAAAATCGCCACTATGCATTCACAAATTGCGATTGCGATGGCACAGGGCAGCTTCCAAGAATGGCAGGACTTCGATCCCGCCGTCAACAGATATGTTTCAGCTACTGATTCCGGATTTGTAGACGAAACTGTGTATCTAAAATGCAAAACCAGAGTGAAATTCTCATCATCACTGAAATTAATGATGCCGGTTTGAAACAACGGAAATGCAGGGTGTAATGAAAGAAGAATTTATTTCTCACTTGCACCATCGCACTGTTCTAGACGCCTAGGGGGTCCACTTTAACCGGCCATAGCTCCCTGGTATTAAAGTGCCTGCAGTGCATAGGATATCTTAATTCGCTTTTGCCTCTCACTTTCTCTTACTCCTTCTCTTTGTCTTATTCCTTCTCCTTCTCCTTCTCCTTCTCCTTCTCCTTCTCCTTCTCCTTCTCCTTCTCCTTCTCCTTCTCCTTCTCCTGAAATCAGGTGGCAAAAGGTGAAGTATCACAGCGATATCTGAAACTATGAGAACAAAGCATCTGTCTGGTCAGCCAATAGGCAAAGTGTTGAGTTCTTCAGACCGCCATCCAATATATTCTCCTCTATCAAAAGATGAACCCTGAAGGTTGAAATCATGATGGAGTGCCGTTGTTCGACAGCTCAAGTTTTTATGAATCATCTCGCACACACGATTTACCGAACGTATTCAACAGCGCAATCCGTAAAAGTTACAAATCGTCCATTTCTTTTCTGTTCTGAAAACTGCAGGCTGTAGAAACTTCGTCGATTGTGGAATATGCTGAAACGTACACAATACGGTATGATCTCCATTACAATGAATGTCATTCCGATTCCTTGAGGATAGCGGAAAAGTGACGAACAAATTAATACCTGATGGGACACTGTGACAGCTGACGTTGAACTTCTCTCTGCATGAGTAGTGTATTTGTACAACCTGTTAAGAAAAAGCTGGCGCACTTTTGCCACAGACAGAGATGGAATAATCGCGATCGATAGATCTGAAAATGGATATGGATAAAGTGTTATCAGGGAAGGTAGAAAGCAGCAATCCATCGCGTCAATGATAGGGATAACCGTAATAACAATTTGGAGAACATTATATCACTAGAGAATGCAGTAGTGATAATCAAAGCTTCGCGTGGTTTTTAGGTTCTGAGCATTAAATCTTACAAAAAGGATGAAGAATATTTTTAATGGAAAGAATACCAGCTCTTGAAATAAGGCATTGTGTCCGCCTAAGCTAGTCATAGCGCATATTTTTCTTGAGGCGACATTAAGTAAAGCGGTATGTCCTATATCGGCACTGTGAAAGTGCCAGGAGGCAAACGACCGTGGATCGGATTGGCTTCGCTTGTGGTGATGCACATGCTCATGACAGCAAGGAAGCTAGAAAAATATCGAGCTGTTTTATACAAGACAGTTTATTGCTCCTTCACCTTATTGTCAGGACATGAGGCAAAGCGTGAGTTTCGACGTTCTTGAACAAGGATCATTTTATAAATTTCATTTCATTACAGAATTGGAGAGTCATGTGATTTCTTTTGATTTTGAAAATTTGCTACGGTAGGTTTGCGAAGTCTGGTCATTTGTGCGCAGGCAACTTTGTCCGCGACACATAAAGCGTAGAAACTTTCGCGCTTGCTACTTCCGTGACTAAATGTTTGACGTGCTACTGCCAAGGCCCGGTTAACGGTGGTGAAATTCGATCCTCTGCAAACAGACTTAAAGATTTGCATACCGGAACTTCCAGTGCATGTTTTTCAACTCGGTCGATATGAGAGTCGTTCCGTTCTTCTAGCACGGACGCGAAAGTCTAGAAAATAGAAGCATGGGTC